GGCTAAAAACACATTTGTTCCCTCTTTATTTGAAACTCTAACTCTAGCACACTCTATTCTAATTCTATTCTTTATTTTAAAAAAACTTGTCCCTTTTAGACTTGCACTCTATTCATTTTCTGCTTGTTTTCTTTAAAAATAAAATAAAATAACACTTGCTTCTCTAATCTTTTTGTATTCTATCTATTTGTTTTCTTTTTATTTATTATATAATAAAAAAAAAAAACCTTGCTACGTGTACTGCGTTAAGCTAACCGAGACTTGTTATAGCACTTGCATATCATTGCTCTTTGCACTTGCATTTGTAAGTCGCTTTGGATAAAAGCGTCTTCTAAATGACTAAATGTAAATGTGAATAAAAATCATTCGACATTTGAAATAAAACAGTATATATGTAACTTATATTATTTCAGCTAGCTGCCAAAGCAACATTTCTTATTTTCATTAACTTGATATTCTAAAATAACTAAAACTGAAATAAAAAATGATAAAAAAAATAGACATTAAAAAAGGAGAACTAAAAACAGACTTAAACTTTAACTACAACTTTAACTTAAAACAGAATATATAAAAAATTTAAACAAATTCAAAATATTAATAAGAACTGTTATAGTATCTCACTGATACTAAAATGGCAATGCAATGGATCACATTAACATCATATTTTTAAAACATCAATCAATCAATAATAATTATTTTTATAGCACATTTAAAAGTTGCTTTCTCAAAGCATTTACATTAAACACAAAACACAGCAAGAAGAAACGAGACAAGATACGTTAATAAACACGTCAATAAAGGCAGCGAAACTTCAGTGTTGTTGCTGTCACAACCTTATTTCAAAAATACAATTCTATCGATCAAAAACAATGAAAACAAAAACTTTTTTGTGAACATTACATTTTTTAAAATTTAAAAACAGCAGAAAACAGTGTAAAGCAATAGTCTTTGAGAGAAGCAGTCTTTATCAGCGGAAGTTAAAAGCAGCTCGTAAGTGTATGTGCTTGTCTCATTAGTGTTTAGTGCAGCTGTCATTGCTAGGAAACACTTGTTTTGTTTACTGTGTGGAGACGTGCTGATATCGCGTTTGGTCTCGTTCTGTATCGTGTATCTTGTCAGTGTCTGCGCT